ATATAGGGACTCAAAACACCCGGCTAGAGCGTGAGAGACTTAGGAGCTACGAGAAGCTCTGTGGCCGAAGTAGGTATGACGGAAGTTCTGTCGCGTTGTGAGACTCTGTGTGTAACGGGCTGGGCTTTGATGTGCACGCGGCTGAAGGAGATGATAACGTCACCAAATGAAAGTCTGACAGCGCGCCCTTGAGCATTGACTATGTAATAAAGTAGCCGGCCCCTCGAGAGCTCCCAGCTTGTTGTCTCTGCAATGCAAATCGATGAATTGATTTGCAAGCACGCTTCTGGCTGGATAAGCTCCTGTCACGTTTCTCGTTTGGTGTGTGTATTGTGTGTTCGTCTCAGGTTGTGGCTTGTGGAGCTCCGTCACAGAATGGGGGTTAGTTCAGTATAAAATACTGCGTCACACCTTGCACTTTTGAGCAGTGGTGCAAGGCGTACAATCAGCCGAAGGCTGCAAATCTGGGGTCAACGGTAAGGCAGTCACCGAAAAATGAAGAACGAAGTATCTATAAGCATACATTCACTGCGCCATTTACACCTCGATCAAGTGGAATTACGTAGCCCCATGGCCTTTCTTATACGGGTTCTGAGTGAGAACCTGCTAACTCCTAAGCCTTTGGTCCCTCATTTTCATCTGGATACCCTCCCGAGGGGATGTGTATGTCAGATGATTGCGGTCTAATCAAGCATCAAGCCTTGCAGCAAGACAGTCGAATCAAGCATCAAGCCCTGCAGCGTTTTCACAAGCGAGACGGCCACATAGCTCAAACCTGTCTGAAAGTCAAGGCAAGACAGATCTGTCATGATCTTGTCTTCGGTGATGCTCTGGGCTTATGAACTGTAATGGCATAGCATATGATCATGGGAAACTGAGGGTGTAGAGTGTGACTCCAACGAGGAAGTCCCTGTCTACTGGCAAAATCGGGACGATCTTCCTACCGTCGGCGGTGGTCAGGATGCCGGTCCGGTATATTTGTTAAACTCCATCATGATTACATACGGTTGGTCTCGGATGGGGCCAGCCCCAGGTGTCCAGCCAATGTCGTACACTTGCCACGAGCGCTGTTAGAGGCCAACTTGTTGCCAGAGGTTGCACGTCAGCATCAGACAGGCACCAATGCATACGGGGACCTGTTCCACAAGGTTGCCCGCCTTGTCGTCCTGGGCAGTAGCCGCGCAGGGGCCGACGTTCGTAGCGATGACCTAGATGACTGATCGGCTGAGGCGGTCAAGGTGCTAGTGGTTATATTCATTCTCCCGGTCTTTCGTGAGGTATACTGGTAAGGCGCCAAGTTGACATATTTTGGGCGTCAGTGGGACAGTTTCCCCTGCACGGCGTCGTCAACGATGGTCGTACTGGATAGCGGCCACCTTAACCCCCGCCCCAGCCGTGGAAGGGTTATCTTGCAAGTTCTTCCCCCCTTTGCGGTATCTAGTTGCCAAGTAAAGCATGACCCACACCAGTGCTGGATAACCACGCGTGTTGTTTCATACTGTTTCATATGAAACTGAAACAGCCCCTGGACCCGGGTTCACGTGAAACTGTAACTTTCCCAGTTTCATATGTTTCAGTCGGTTTCAGTCAGTTTCATATGTTTCATATTCGGCCGTGATTCCCGAATATCTCAGTACTTAACTAAGAATATTTCGCAACCCAAATGCGTTCAACGCAGTTGGAAGACTTCTAACCGCAAATATGTCATCAGCTTCGCCCGCTGCCTTGCTATCAGAGCCTTCTGATAAGCTCTCGAGACCTGCTTCACCCGACTCTCCCGTTCCCGCGAAGCGTGCATTGGATCGCTCACCCTCTGGTCGGGCTGGCAAGCGCGCCAAGGGTCGCACAAACAAATGCACTTGGAACGAGGCGCGTGACCCTTATGAAGAGAGAGGAGAGAAAGCTCGCGATAACTCATATCACGAAATTTGGTATTGCAAGCACTGTGACTCCACGAAAAAGCCCAATTCCGTGACAACGAACCTGAGCCGAGCCCGCAAACACCTGCGGGACTTTCATGGCATCCGGGTTGTAGAGCAGCTAGAAAGGTCAGATCTGAAGAAGCAGCAACATGGCACCATTATGGATATGTTTGGAACGCAGGAGGAACGTCAAGCCAATCGAGACCTTGTTGAGGAAAAGTATTTGGCAAATGCCATTAACATTCCTCAGTCCCACCAGCTACCATGGTTGTCACAAGCTCAGATAGACATGGCAAACCAACTTTGGCCCAGCCAGGTAATAGAGAATGGGTTTCCATGATCCAGAGCATTAATTCTCGCGGCCAGGCTACCCCGCCGTTTATCATCGTCGCGGGGCTGCATCATCTCGCGAACTGGTACGAAGATAGCGCGCTACCAAAGGATTGGGTCATCTCCACGACTCCTAATGGCTGGACTACAAATGAGAAAGGCGTAGAATGGATCCAACACTTCGAAAAGCATACTAAGCCGCGAACTCAAGGTGCATATCGTCTTCTAATCATGGCGTCACGTTATGAGACTCATTGTTAACTAAGCTTGTTTTCTTTTTATATAAAAATTATTGTTGTTCTTTTTTTCTATTTTTTAGAAGGGTTCATGTCTTTTACCT